AACATGACATATTCCTTTAACTGACTCTTGCCGCAGCTGTTAGGAAGATATACCTCACATTTACTTTATTATTACTAAATACATGCGCAAACCAAATTAAGCCTGCTAGTGATTTTCTAGAGAATCATAGTCGGCTTGAAGACGTCCACTTGAAAAGCATATTGAGCATGAATGGTTTCAACTCTTCAACTTTTATTTCACCGCACAATGGATCAGCAAACTTTTGGATCTCTGGAAGTATCTGCACGTTTCATACTTTTTTAGAAAATTTTGTTAGATATAATCACAGCAATGGAAATATTCGATATTCTATCATAGTAGATTATCAAGTAGAATCACAATCTTAGAGGCCTTCTTATTAACTAAATCAATGATTGTTATGATATTTTATGACAAAATATTCAAAATAGCTGTAATACCAATCCTATTATGTTAAGCTATCAAAGCTTAACATAATATAACATTAAATACCGTTGATTATTTATTTAAAAATAGTAATGTTATTAGCATCAGACTAAGTAACCATCTTACACCCGCTAGCCTTCTACCATATGTCACTGCAATTTTCATCCAGACAAATGATCAAAATATAAATTTTATCAAATTGCCAGTAAAATTGCAATGCTGTCGCACTTGGCTCCTACAATGTTGGTGCGGTGTGTGTGATGGTGTTGGTGTTGGTGACAATGTTGGTGACGATGTTGGTTAGTTGCCGGTGTAGTTTTTGGTGGTACATAAAGTAGCATCAGCAACTTATTTACTGGCAGTTAGTCGCAACTTATGCGAACTCTCGCACAGATACATTTTAATTCCTGGTTTATTTTTTTATTTAATTTTTTTATTGCTGCGCATAATTTTTACTTTGGCGCCTCGCATTACTCTATTCCCATGAGTTACTTGTACTTTGACTGTGGGTTGCGTTCTGTGTGCGCTGTACTTCCGGCGAAAGTAGCTCGCTCGCCAAAAGGTATCCATCCACTCGCATTGCTGTCGTTGCGTTTTTCCGTATTTTCAGTATTTTCGGTATACATTCCAACTTTTCTTTTTCATTATTTAAACGTCGGCGAAAACTTTATAATCTGTTAATTATTTGTCTTATGCCAAGTTAGCGCAATTTTATTGCTTTCCTTCAGTTATTCTCCCTTTACCAGTTCTTGGACTAATGCATTCTTAAGTTGAGTTGTTCGCTGTTCACTGTTCTCTGCCTCGGAAGCCTGGAACACTGTAATTAAAGGGAAATCTTCGTACCTTTGCTGCAATAAAGTAAAATTGTTTTAAGTGTAATAAAGTCAGTTCATGGCCGTTTAATTTTTATGGCGAAAATATTTTTTACTTTCCTCTTTTATGCACTCAAATTAAAATGTATTAAATTTTTCCAAGTGAGATAAACAAAATTTCAAGGAGTGTTGCTAATACCACATTTGGAGAAGGAATGATGTTTGATTTTAATTCTTTGAAAATAAAAATATTTTTTTTTTATTTAAAACAGACGTCGTTTTGTTCAACAAAATATAAATAAATTGAACAAATAAGTGAAATTTTCAATTAAAATAAGAAATATTAACAGAAGCATATATTCCAACCTTTTATACTTTTAACCGAAAACCGAAGGACAAAATTTGACCAGTTGACTTTAAGAGCTTATGGACCATTTCGTACTTATCAGCCATGGATAAGTACTGACGTACTGATAACAGCTGACGCATGTCGTCATTATCTCATATATAGGTGAAATGAATAAACTTATAGCAAATCGAACGGTCTGTATGTTGCGAGTACCAGCATACAGAGACTAAGAAAGTTAATAAATAAATAAAGAGTAGAATCTAATATTTTCAATTATAATAACGACTGATTAGTTGTCCACAGAAGATCAAAAAATCTAAACACTTGTAAATCTTAGTGTCACGTACCAAACAATGACTTCAAATAATATTATGGTTTTTTACCATTATAAGATGATGGATTGGAGGAAGTATTTATAGAACTTTATATAGTTGTATATTATGCTTTTAATATAAGGCTGTCAAACAAGAAGATCTGCCATAAAATACGGAAAAGAGTGAGGAAAGAAAACGCTTATACTCTGCTGACTGGAAAATTGAAATAAATCATCTCGGTATTCAAAAATCCGAGAAATTAATCTGTGTGGTTCTAGTTTAACTCAATTTGTAACTAATCTCAAAATTTGTTAAACATTGAAACATTTTAATGATCTCTTTACTAATCCGTAACTTATTAATGTCGATTTGACTTAGTATTAACTAATATTCCAAAAATATCACTTACTCTTGAATATCAAAAACCTTTTAGTAGTATGTGTATATAAGCATATTAAACGCATATGTAAATATAGTAGTTACCTAAAAATTCGATATTATTTTGAAAACTAGAGCAGTGGAACAAGAACTTCCATTTATCTGTTGGTATATAGATTGTGTATTGATATTTTTATAAAATATTCAGTTCATTCAGCAGTATATTTTCTTTAAATTTTTTCCTGATTGATATTTTGACTGTAATTTGAAGCTGAAATTTTCCTACTTTCATTTTATTTACTATGACGTTGTACCATCTACTTTTATCTATTGTATATACTACTCTTGTCGGGTAGTTTGCAATAGTTAGTTATGAGATGCTGTGTGAATAATAAAGTTTACTTACATACTCATAAAAGTTTATTTATACAAAACTAAAACTGAATTTAATTAATATTTAAACTATGTACTTGAACTAAAATTTACTTAAGTACCCACTATTTCTAAGTCTGTGAAAGACTATTCTCGAATTTGAAAGTATATTCCGACATTATTACATTAACCCTAAAGTTAAAGAAATGCAACATTGTGTGATAGCTACTATCCTAGGAGTTGTCTCCGTTGAAACTGTAAGATAAGTTATGTTTTTTAACTCTTTTTGGTTATATATATCATATTACATGTTTAAATCCTTTCTGACTTATAAAAGAGTGTCATTCTGGCGATTAAATTTATTTTTGTCGACACTTAGCGGAAAGTAAAAGAGAAGGAATAACTGACAAATCTTTGAGTCATTATTGGATGATTACTTGAATCGATTGCTTTATTTTCTAATTATTGGAATTATTATTTGTATATGAACTTCATAATGCGTTCTAAGACGAAAATTATAATTAGCAATACTTAACATTAACTTCGTACTAACAAAATAAAGTCAGATATTTATATTCTTCATAACATTTTCCTCTCTAGTAAATCACAAGCAACTTTTGCCCTTTTCATATCCCATTTTATTTCAATATTTTTTTTTTGGTGTTGTTTGTAAAGTGCTTCATTTTTCTTCTCTTTAGGAAGTTGAGATAAACGTTCTAAACTTTGCTAAGTTAATTGACAGAAATATTCTGCAGAAAATTAAATTTTAACTTACAAATGAATTAACCTTCTTATGGAAAAAGAAAATATGAAAAATAAACAAGAAAAAATGAAGTTATCAAATAACTACTTTTTCTTGCTTCTTATCATGAAATCGAAAAGAGCAACTCGAACTTAACTTTTGAAATGAAAACAGGATTAAGTCCTTATGCAGCCTCATAATTACAGCAATTATAACTAAACCATAGAAAGTGGCCAACTTCAAAGCTATCTTACTCGAACACCATAAGAAACCATACCCACAAGTGGGCACAGACCACACCATTTGGCTGAGTATGCAATGTACACTGCAAAGGTATGCAAACAGTTTTTAAGCCGACAGTTTCAACAGTTGAATATTAAGTTGCCAACAACTGTCCAACTAAAAAAAAGAACTGTGAATCTCTAGAAAAGGAAGTTGGTAGCTAGTTTTCAAATTGAGTCATAACAAACAATAATAAATAAATATTAATGTAGGAATAAATTGAAGATGTAAAAGATGCATCTAACTAATTTAAAAAGCCATCCTATGTATTTATAATATTTTCATATAATTATATATAGTAATTTTTCTACACACATTTCTTACATTCTAAAGTTTTATCTGAAATCCAAAAATACTAGCTTGTAGGAGCAATTCATCTACGCCTTGAAAATACTTCGCAACATGAAAACAAACATTGTGGTTTACTGCCCACGTTCTAATCAATTACTTAGTTTTTAGAGTTTTTTTTAGAGGCACTAAAATTGCAACAAATTTCGTTTAAGTTAAACAAAAAAGTGGTTTGGTTTTGCCGGAGCTTCATTTTGCTTTAAACCCTTTTTCAGAAATTATCTTGTGTATTCGCTATATATCATGTAGTGCAAATTGCTTTTAAATTGGTTGCTCAACTAATCGGTAAACAGATTTTTCTAAATCATCAAGTAATATCTTTATAATACAATAATATAACACAAAATAAGAACCATTCCCGAAGTGAGCTATCAAGAAAGTCTTTCTTATATCACACGCAGAAGCAATGTTCTTCACGATACCATACATTAATAGCCATCAGTTTCTTAATAGACCTACTTCTCTATATGCCAGACAATTGTTGGAATTATTTAGAACCAGCTTATATCCGACTATATCCAACATGCTAAATAGCTTCTTATCACTTACAAGGCAGTTTAGTCCTAACGTGACCCATTAAGCAATCAAATCTGAATTCAATCGACTTGTGTGTCTGTGTCTTCATTCTTTCATCCTTATAGGTACTTCGAAACATTCATCATAGTACGCCAAAGCCAGCATTAATCACAAAGCCTAGTTTTACGCAAAGTATTCATTTAATGATCTTCATTCTTTCATCTTTATAGGTAATTCCAACCATTCACCATAGTACGCCAAAGCCAGCATTAATCACAAAGCCTATTTTTACGCATAGTATTCATTTAATGATATAGTGATGTGACAAGAAACTGTGATCTGACTCAGACAAGAAAAAAAACAGTGACGCAGCTATCGGTTTCTAAACAAGAATATCTTCTTCTTATAAGGGTTTAGAAAAACAATGTATTAATGTATTAAAAACATAAACTTATTACTTTATTTAATTAATATATTTCTGGTCTATTGTCATGTTTTTGTATGAATGTGTAATATGTAAGTGAGTGTAATGTTTTCTTTTTTGTTGTTGTTAAAGAATAAACTTTTTATATAATTAAAATTGCATAAATAAATTCATTAACATATTTGGTGACAACAGTTCTCGTTCCTTCTCTAATCAACTGCAAATAATAATGTGTAAATATTTTCTTGCAAACTAATTGTTAAAATAAATATTGAACTTACTCATATTTAAAATATCAGGTTTAATTGGATTTGTTTCACTTGACTTGCTTAAGTGCTTCATAATTAGGGTTTTACTGTCAACAGGGTTTAAGAAACAACTTTCTTGGGCAGACTTGCAAGCATCTAAAGCTAAAAACGGTTTTACTAAAATCTGTTTTTCATTAAATTATTTTATAAATATTTACTTGTGTAGTTTTCACCATATTGAGAAACTATTTCTGGGTCGAGCTGAGCTGTAATTATGCTTTTCTGAGTGCCAACACTAGCGAACTTGGTTGAGTCATTTTTTATATTGGCAGGAATAGCAAAACCATTGATTTTTTTTGTAACACCTTTAAAATCGGTATTATACAATATTAATAAAAGTGGATAGCACATAATATATAAGTTGTATGCGATAAACTTTGAGTAACTTCACTCATTTCTGCGCACAAGATTACTTCACTTGAAAATTTTGAACTTACCATCAGCCTTCACTACAACGCTTTGCAAATTTGCTTCGGATGCGTAGATATTTATAGTTACTTCTTGCTGCTCTGGCTCTCCATCATCCGTTTCACTACATATATGAACTTATATTTAAACTTTTTATAAACATATTTATGGTCAACCTACTTATCACAATTATTGTAGTCAATATAGTACATGATGAGACCAATAAGAAGCATTGTCATTACAACAAATATAAGACGAGTTTGACCTTTAAGTGCTTGCAATATCAAATCTTCGGACATCTGTTCCAGTGTAACGTTGTATTCATTTAGTCTCAACATATTTTGGCAGTTAAGACCTGATGTAATAGAACCTTACTTAAAGGTTAAAGGTTAACACATTTCATTTTGCTATTTAATCATATGTCTTTACCTGACTTGATTCTTTCAAAGTTTTTTAGAAAATATAGTCAGTGCGTTTTCGTAATATGTCTGTGAAGGAAGTCCAAAATTATATCACCATTATAAAAGTTATATTATACATATTTATTTAAATTACTACCGAAAGTGAAAAATTTGTTTATCAACTTTTTAAAACAGGCAATCAATCCTTTTTGCAAGAAGTAAAAATTATTGATAATTCATTTATACCACCCTATATGTTTAACTGGATAAAATAAAACTTAACTAATATAATCAAATGATATTTAATGCTTTCAATTTAAAAAATTTTATTTCAAAGCCGACTTGAATTTGAAAACACATTATTATTTTATATATATCCCGTAATAATTATATAAATCAATTAATGATGTCGAGAAGTTTTCATGATATTCAATCGGTCAATCGGTATTTGCGTTAAAGAATAACAGTAAATACTAGCAGATCTGACAGATTGGCAAAACAGTTAACAATACTAACGAAGGTCGGTAAGAATACCATCAGAAAGATGAAAGAAATTTCTTGTCAGAAAAAATAAAATTACAAATGAAATTAAAAGTAATCTATTTTAAACCTTATTAAATTATTATTATTAAAATAATTTAAGCACCTATAAATTCCTTAAGATCCCAAACATTTCAAAATATTCATATATCATTTTTCTATGTCGATAAATTTACGTAGCATCAAAATCCAATTAAAAAGACACTAACCAATATGAAAGAAAGGAAAAAAAAGAAAAGGAAAATACGACTGGTGTTCGTAATGGTCAAAACAATAAATGACCAAAGATTAAAAATTTATATTTGAAAATATGATAAAATCGTCGAAATTACGACTTGACTCCGTCATGACATTTCCACTTTTTTTATAATATAATTTTACTTCTTTCATTTATATTTTGTGATAAAAATCATAAGAAATATTTTACAAATTAATATTTACTCACCTATCTCAAGAACTGCACGAATTTCGACTACCTTTTCAGGGAACTTTTTGAAGTTGATAATACGACTTTATAAAAAATTTGAAATTTGATTCATATATTAAAATTTTTTATTTGCTTTTTGAAATATTTATTAAATAATTAAAGCCTGCTTTGTTTTAATAGTTATGAAAAAAACATTGACAATATGTGTGAGAAATCTCTGTAAGATTTTCATACACTGAAAAAGGAATAAGGAAAGCATGATCATTTATAACATTGGGTTTACCATGTACAAAAGCGAAATCACACTCCAACTCTACTCCAACACTATGGAGCCAAATTTCTTAAAACCTTGCTTTTTTCGACAACATCTATTTATTTATATTCTAGATCACAACTCCTTTACTTTTTGCAACCACTTTTAACTTAAGTTAGAAGTTATGCTTCTTGTGAAATATAGTGTTTCTCTCAATTGAATCTCTATAAACACTAAACTATGTTTATAATCGGTTTTATTTTATTATACATATATATAATTCCTTAATTTATTTTTTAATAGTTTAATTCAAGTTAATATTAATTTTTACACGTTGTTGAACTATCCACTATATTTTTTCCACTTTTCCACTAATGTAAATAGTTCTTTGAGTGCAAGCGCTATTAGATAGATCTCAAGATAGATAAAGTCTTTATTAAAGAAAAAATACTATTCATCTTTTTGAAATGTTTAGAAAGTATTATCCATTGTATTATTCACTTATCTGACAAGTCTTCAGAAACGATAAAAACACTCGAGTTACAACAACAATAACATAATCATTATACTTAAAATGTTCTTTAAACTATTTGGAACAATTTATTTATTACTTCTGTTGACTTATCTAACTTTACAGTATTCAATCAAATTTAATCTTATATGGTGTGCCATTAAACTATTTAACTAATTTTTCCTAACGTATTTCCTAACTGCCTAGGTCTATAATTCAAGGGCATTAATATCTTAGCATATTAGCAAAATTTTGTAAGACCAATATTAAAATATTAATAAAAATATTCATTTAGTATATTTTTTGATTATAAGTCATAGTTAACACATTTCCAGATACACATCTTAAATCATTAGATTTTATATATACTACTTTTTCTCCGTTCCAATGAAAATATGGCTAAAAATAACTCAAGTTATAAAATTTAATTGATAACAGATGTTTGATATGTGCTGCTAAACTGTAAAGGACATTATAATCGTATATGAAGAATGAACTAAGTATCTTTCGATATTATTCTTTTTGAAATTGCGATCAGAATGATTTCATAATCATCATGTATTTGAAATTAATAATATAATTAAAATTGTTCACAAATAAGCGAAATATTCCTTACTTTTAATACTAAGTTCTCTTTATTGAAAACTAATAAAGCTATCTATATATTTTTAAATCTTAATGATAGTTTATGAACAAAATACATTGCAGAAAAAAAACAATCATACAGAAGTCATGCAGAAGAGATTAGGCAGTTTTAGGCACATGAAATCGAACATGTTTTGGACCAAAAACTTTTTACTAGTTTAAATAACTATATGATTTAATTATCTCTGTTGATAGTTTGTCACAAACATACATTTTTAACTATATGCTTAAAAATCATTATTTAAAATTTTATTTAAATTTCGAATTTTAAATATCATATTAATTTAATTGCTTAACTCTTATTTGTATATATTTGCTTTTGTTTGTTATAACATTAAATTTTGAATATTATATATGAATAGCTCATAATTCTTGAAAAAATTTTATTTTTTTTTTTTTGTTTAATAAAATTACATGGTAAAAAAGGATTCTGCTACTATAAAATTATTTTTCCAACGTTTAAATATGTTTTCCATATATGTAATACTAATGCCATATTAAAATAATAAATAGAATCTATTGTAATCTAAAAAAATGACATTGTAATATATTTTAAATGATCAAAATAATAGTAATATATTTTATGTATGTTATTTGTATTCCGTTTTTCTTTTATGACTTCTCTTCGTAAAGCTTGACTAAAATATTTATTTTAAATAAAAATGATACATACATAAGAGATAAAATAAAAAAAACTTAAAACATATTTTAAAAATTTAGTCACTGTTTATAAGAAACTTACAATAAATGTTTTAAAACTTTTAACGTTGTTAAACAGAACGTTGTTACATTATTATGAAATATATTGCGCTTCATCTTTGAAGATTTGTTAAAGCCGCAGCAACTAGAAGTGATTCATTTATATATTGATACAGTAGAGGTTCTTTAATTCCATGATGCTGCAACATTTTAAATTCGCGTAGAGTATTAAGCACACATCGCAATTGTTCTCTGCAAACTGGCGTACTGACGCGTGTTGTTGGTATGGTATAACCTCTTGCTTTGCATGATACTAAGTTATTATTTTCAACACTCATTGTTTGATGGGAAACTAAATTCGCAGCAATGCGTGCAGCATCAAAACGGCTCAATTTATGTCCGTCTTCGTTGTCAGTGTCATTATTTGCAGACTCTTCAGCCGAATCTGTATTCGAATCTGTATCTTTACCTTCAGAAGCATTAACTTTCCTTGATTTGTGTCTGTTTCGAAAACCTTTACCTGGTACTGCGACAAGGGATAAATACTTCGGTATACAGCTATGAAAAGTAGAACTTTTAAAAATTGTTAAATCATCGAAATTGCCCACAAATGCGTCAGATACATAACAGATGAGACCTAAAAAAGATATACAAATATACTCGACAAAATGATACTAAATTTATTCACTTACCATTTGGTGAAATACTTAGTATGTATTTGTAGCTATTACAGCTTAAGAGTTCTGGGCAATCTATTTCAGTTTCGACTAAATCAATCAACGATTGCACATGCGACAAATCCGAACGGAATTGAAAAGGTAAATTCTTATGTCTGTCATAGTATTTTTTACTATTTGGGTACACCACTAAAAATCGCATGAACCGAGCTAAACGTGTAATATTAAGTGCGAACGTTTGTTGTATTTCAGTTTCTGTCATTTCAAAATATTCAGCAAGTAGGCTACATTCTTCATTTTGACGTAACTTCTTTAGCGTTATGTAACAATCTATGAAAGAGACATTTGCAGTCACACAAATAACATTTTTCAATAAATCTAGGCGATCAGCAGAAACGCCAATATGAGTAAGTGGATTCTTCTCTATTATTTCCAAAGTTACGCTGCGTATTGTACGTTTGGGTAATTCACGACGAATTAGTACTGTTGGTCGTGGACCATTTGCATGGAACGTAGTAACGCCATTTGATTGTAAAACGTTACTTGCTGATTTATTGCTACTCTCACTTTTACTGCTTCCTGCTGTGGCTTGTATAATAGTATTTGGTGGCAGAGAACTTATTGCAGCACCAATCGATTTCTTTAAAGAAGTTGGTGTGCTACCGCCTATAGTCTGTTGCCATTGCAAACTAGTTGTTGGGCCGCCAGTACTAGCAATTGTTTGCAGTGAATACTTTTTCACTTTTTCGTTTGGCTCTGTTTCTATAACAAATAAAATTTTAATTGATTTTATTAACTATATATATTGTTTTTTTATTGTGTACCGTATGAGTTGTTACGCTTTACTGCAGTCTTCACATTGGGAGTCAGTTTGTTAATAACCAAAGAAGGACTTACTCCAATTTTAACTGCACTCTGAAATAAATTTATTTTTATTATAAATGGTTTGATTACATGAAAAAAATTAACAAGTTCAATAACCGAATTTACTATATTGTTTGAGTTGTGTTTTCATGTACAAATTTGCTTTCTGACTTGAGTATTTAAATTTTGACACCGAAAGTAATATATATTTACTATATTATAGTTCATATTCATCTTGGGACAAAAATTTGTATAATTATTTAATTATTTTGTTATAAAATATATGTTTACCATTTTCAATATATTATGTCAAACAATATTCGTCGCGTGTATTGAGTCAAACAAATAACGTTGCCACCTAACAGTTAAAAATGACATAAAAAAAATATTTAGTGATTTTTATTTGTAACCACAAAAAAGTCATATACACACTTTCGTCACAATCAAATAATAGAAATTAATAATAGAATGTATGTTTACAAACAATATTAAAACTATTTACTTTTTGATAAAATAAACAATATTTATTATAAAATATCAACCTTGAGTAGTTGTACACATACTCAAACGCACTGAACACAAAAGTCTGGTAATAAACCAAACTATTATTCAATATAAATCCAATATTTCTTTTATTTTGTATTTACCTCAGTTCGTAGTTTTTGCTGAAATTGTACTTTATTGCTTTTAATTGCCACCGGCTCATTAAGAGGAACGGCTTGTCCTAAAGAATTTTTACGGTATTTGACTACAGTTAAAGACATGTCTGTGCGATAAGTTGAGTTTATTACAATATCTTCACCGAAATTTTTAACTTATCAGCACTTGCAATTTTACATACTTTGTTTTTTAAAAGGCAAATACAATATTTATATCAATGAAACAACAAAACACTGCTCACAACTACCCTATTCGCGTCTGTTTCATACAATGACTTGTAAACGACGAGAGTACGTCAATTGTACGTCAAAACGAATTCGCCGCAATACGCTTATTGAAATTCAATGTTGTTTTTTCCAATGTTTGGTGTATGACAAATATTAGTTTAAGTATATAGGAACATGAATATATACATACTTCTATAATATTGAGGAGTGTTGCATATTTCAACATGTTTAATATACATCAATTATTTTATTCCATAAAAATAAGAATAATATAATAATTAGAAATAAAAATAATTTATTATCGTACTTGCTTACAAAATATTTTAATAAATTCTTTGTTCAATAATTTATTAAATTTTATTTATATTAGTTGAGAAATGATAAATTTATTTATAAGTACCACTTTTAATTATTTTGCTTAGTATTCATTAAACTAATATGGTGTTTTGCAATATATGACTTACAATAGTTCATTCATAGATAGACTTACAGTATGTTTAGTCTGAGAAATCATGAAATCTCATAAATGTCTCATACGGAAATGAGCGCAAATTTACATACTCAAATTTAAAAACTTTTGTGAATATCCTTATTATAGTATTTAACTTCACAATCGTTCAAGAAGAAGTGTTAGTTTTTATAACAATACGTACTAATAACGTTCGATAGTTTTAAGTGTAAACACATATTTCTATTATGCTTTTATATTAATATTAGTATATCATTAATATTTCTGTACTTCAAGAAAAATATTGCTGATTCTTGCCTAGGCCAGAAGAATAAAGTTGAAATTTCGAACTCACCACTATTTAGCTCTCTTTTACCTATGTTATTCCAGGCGACAAATTTTGTTACTAATAGAATGTAATATAACGACTGTAATATATCCGGCGTTAGCGTAACCTCTTGATATATTGTATGCAATACCATTGAAATATATACATTGACAATTATATTTAACTTTATAGTTATTGTAAAAAATTATTTATTCATTTATAAAAATAATTAAATTTATAAAACTCATTGTTTTGAATCTGTATTAGTGAGATTAAATTATCAAGGGCTCAAAGTAATCACTTCAAAAATTTATTTCTGATATGATTTATTTATATTATATGTATATTATTTAAAACTTCTATAGTTACTGTTCATAGTTTTACTAGAAATATATAAAATACCTAATTCTTAAACAGTTTAACTACATCTTGAACGACTTAATTGTTTTATTTTTTAATTTTATATTTACACAAATAAATATAATAGAATTCCAAGACAAGACAAATTAATAAAACTTTCAATGGTTGATGTTATATTTTTTTAATTAATAATAATTTTTTCCTAGTCTTTAAAATTAAACAAAATTATTTAAAATTATTCTTAATCATTTAGAAGTGCCTGTAACTATATTTAATTTGTTAATTCGCCAACCAACAGCTATCAATTTTGTTTATCAATTTGTGGTGGATTTCTATTTATTATTAAAATTGAATTATATAACATATTTGCAAATAAGTTGTAGTAAGTAATATTTGTAATTGTTTCTGTAGTTTATGCATTTTATTTTGTTAATGTTGTTGTTGTTGTTATATATATATTGTTGTTATAATGATTGCTTGTGTGTAGAGTTCACCAGTAATTACAGAAAAGTTGTTGCTGCTTTGGGCACTGTGAATAGTGGTGGAGTTATTATTGTGCTTGGCTTGAGTACGGACGTGTTTTTTTTTAAACTTTTGCAAATTGATATTTCCGCCGCTTTCGTTAAATTAATTTATCAATAAATGTTATCTGTGTAATATAAATTTTGAAATATATAATCCAAATAATTTAGCAATAAATCTTTTTGTCATTTGTGAAAATTTTATATATACCTACAATGTTATAGGATGAAAGAATACAACTAAACTATTTAGTGTTACTAAATACAACTAAACACTAAATACAACTATTTAGTGTTATTAACTACTAAGCATAAATCATCTGTATTTCTGTACTCACTTTGCACGCGAAATTTTCAAATTTTTCAGCTGTGAACAATAGAAATAAATATTTAAGGATATATACTTTAATACAAAATTAATTATTAATGAATTAAACTAATATACATTGTTACATATCCTACAATTAGAAAATGCATTTAATATAGTATTGGCATAAAGCCTGAAGCACCGGCAGTTAAGGCCCTTTTTTAATTATTAACAAAATAGTTATTATATAACTCAAAAGACAAACAACAATATTAGGGATTAATAATTGGTACCTTGAAACTTAAATAAATAAATTGAATATAGTTTTTGAAAAAATTAATAATATAAGATTTTTAAATAAATCTTTGTAAAAATGTTTTATTTATTTTTCTTTGTGTCCTAACGTTTGCAGTCTACGATTTAATCTTCAAATAACATCAAAGACTACTGATCATGAATATTTACTAATATTCAAAACATCTGCATGGATTTCCAAAAATCAACCTAATTTTTGTGATTAATATAATTTTTTTCAATATGAAACTATATTCAATTAATTATAATTTCACCGACTGTGTTTATACAGAAAAGTAATAACTAATTAATAAATATATTTAATTTTTTAATTTCATCAATACAACTGCTAAAGAATTTATAGTTCAACTAATTGTAAGGATATTTTAGACATTAAATATAGTAACTTTAAAATTGTTCACATTAATGACTCAAATAAAATTTTTTAAAGTTGCTAAAAATTTTTATGAATGATATCCGGTTGTTAATTACTCAGAAAATAATAATAGCTCATTTAAAAATTATTTCATGATAATATAATTATAAACCAAAAGATAACGTCATAGCAAAATTATTTTCTCTCAAAAGTGTGATTGACCCTTGTCTAAGTCATTTGGTATAATAGAACTTATAACAAATCGTCTGTTGCAGTCTTTATATATAGTTTCCCAACTAAACCCTCCATTGTAGAAGTTACTTACTGACTACATTTTTACCAGCGTTAAAATTGTTATTTTAAGCGTAACATTATAAAATTATCACATTGACAATGAATAAAACAAATAAAGTGCAGAAAAACGTTTTTCGCATTTATAATTGAAGGTAATTTTATTTTTGAATTTGAAATTCTTAATGTTTATTTTAATTTTTGAAGAGCCTAAACAGTCCTCATAGCACAATACATTACGTTAATAAAAAATAGTCAATAATAATTATTTTTTGAACGTACAAAAAAAAATTATAAAACAATAGTGATTTGATATTGTTGTGGGTGTGAGAAAGTTATAAAAAACTTATTATACCGAAGTCATAGAGATAAATGAAAAATACATTACTGATTATGAAAAATGTGGTTCAATACAAAAGTGAAATAACAAATGGTTTTATTCGTAATATAAACAAACGGTTATTGTTATCAAAATATTTATGATACTTGATACAAATTGGAATCAAAGAGCAGTGTGGGTAAACGTATATCAACAGAATAGAGAAAATATTCATCATCTGATGACATGACTGCAATTTCTTTATACATTATATAGTAAGTTGCCTTTGTATATATACAATATTAATATTTTATCAACATTTTATTCTAATTATAACTTGGCAATTATTTTTGTTTTCCTTACTCATCATTATTTAGTATAACAACTGGATTAAATATTAGAAAACTCGATCACAAGCTTCCATGTTCCTCTATTGAAACCTAATCATTTAGTTGGGAGCTTTAATTATATTATAACGGTGGTCTTAGTGATCAATATAGGTTTATTATGTTTATTGTGTCTAAAGTTCCAAAGGCGCAGAACAAAGGCTGGAACCTTTAACAAAATCTGAATGACTTTTGAGTAACTATCTGGGATATTTTAAATAAAAATTAAGTTGTTAGCATATTCAATCTACGTTGCACATACATTAGACAGATTTAAAACAAATGTGAAGCATTTTCAAAAGATTAAATCTTCCAGTACGGTTATTTAACTGACTACTTTCCATCAACTAACTCAATACAAGTCTGATATAAGATAAGATATAATACACCAAAATGAGTTTGCTACATATTTTCTTATTTAATACGGGTGATCTAACGTACATATGTCATCTACATTCAATCTTCCCATCTTGTATTAAATTGTAAAATTCAGAAATATTTCAACAACGATTTGATATTGCATACCTATATTCTACATATGGTATATCATTAAATCTTTCCATTTCGTATCAGATTGCTTATTACAAAAAAATTTCAACGACTGTTTCCATAATAGTAGCGATATACCCAGACCAAATGCTTAGGTGTCCCTCAGACAGTCTACCTAGCTCATTTATCTTGCAATTACCGAGAAAGTCCTAGTGATCGCCAATCCAAAGAAAAAAGAAATCTTTTAATATAGTATTCAGAAATGCGTAGCAGTAAAAACATTGCCTGCAGTGAAAACAGGCATCTGTATCCAATTTAGCCACGTTCTAATAATATAATATCAAACTCTCTTATTGAGATGCCCCGTAGAGATATCAGTCTCGTAGTATGTTTACTTACAGGTCATAGTCTCCATGCTAGGAGAGTAAATCTCCCTTTCAAACATACCTGCCGCAGTTGTGATGAGGATGATGATAGTGCCTACCACCTGCTTTGCTTCTGTCCAGCACATTTGTTTAGAGGCTATCTTTTTCGAGAATCTTGACATACTTCAGGAACTTCCACTGAATAGCACTATAAGCTTTGCTAAAGGTGTTAATTGCTTTTAACCTCATAACTATCATTTGGAAATTTTTATCTCTTATACTAATTATAGTCTGTCGGTTTCATGAACGCATTTTCTTACATTTAAAAATTGCGAACAGTTCCAAAGTTATAGTTATTAAAAATGTATGTTTCCTTTAGGAACTAAATTCAAGATTTTTTATTTATAATTGAATTACAAGATGCAAATAACTATTAAATCATTAAATTTAAAAAAAATAAAGCTTTTAGTTAAACATTCGCTTCAGAGTGAATTAAGACTTTAAATAATTTTTTCCGTATTTTTAATTTGTATATAGAGTACTTTATTGATTTGTAATATGTAATAATTATTTAAAATAATTATTAGTTTCACATATTTACATTAATCAATGGAAAACTGTAATTACATCGGTGCATATTTGTAAATCGCCACATGAATGACGTAGATAGTTGAGTAATGGAAAAAACTAGTCGGAATGACATTAATTATTAATTTTAGTTTGAGCTCAATTACCGATTTTTAGATAAGATTACCAACGCCCCTGTACATTTGTACTCACAGTTCACTTATTTCGGCATATTCATTAACAAAAAAAAAAAATAATCAGACTTAAATAATTCTAATTTATGCAAAGTTAATAAATAATCAGCATTGGAGGCATGCTAAATTTTTACACCGCAGAGACCCACCCACAATTTTCGCATATGTTACTTCTATCGTGGCAGACAACCACTAAACAGTCGTACATATGTTGACGTTTTTGCAGCGTAGTGACATGCCAATGTGGGTAGATATGCAGCACTTTAAACGTTCCAGAATAAGAAAAAAATAATAAAAAATTGTGTTATATATTTTATCTTATATAAAAGACATATAAATGTTTATAATTGACCAGAGTCGTAGTTAGTGAATTTTATTTTATTTAAAGGGACTCTACTTCCTTTTTTTTCTTAAGTCCATGAAACAGTTTGTTCAGATTATATGGTAAATATTTTTTTTTTTTCAAAAAATTAAAAAACATCTGTATTGTATTTAGATCTAACGGGTGACACGGTTTTTGCATTGGTTTTTATACTGATGTTTCATAGGTATGGGATGAATGACATTCGAACTATAGTTTATAAAGCAATGTGGAAGTTAGTTGAGTTGATGTAAACTGGCACTTTTACTCTATGCTATATAGATGCATTTATTTCAATGTCCCACTGTATCTATAAGCTAGTTATTCTTATATTACCTTTATAAATATCTCTTGTTCTGATATACAATGAAACCGTGAAGAGTCTCGATGTCGCCGAATTTCAGTTTAAGTGAGTTTTGCTTCCGGCTACGTGTGATGTATAAAGCTTTTGTTTTCTTAATGTTTATTTTGATTTTCCATTTACGTGAATATTGGGCTATAAAGTTTTAGTGCTCTTATAGCGTCTTATAGCACAAATATGCATATCTGTTAATAATGACTTTTTATGGACTTGAAATACATATTTCATAAAACAAGCTTATGATCCGGTCGATCACGGATTATGATCGACTTATGATCACGGATTATCAAAATTTGGTATTAACATATGGTATAATAATATAATATACCGAGTATAGATCGCTCATAGAAGTCATTTTAACACTCAGCTGGGTCTTTAGTTTTTAAAAGAGAAATAATTGTTGAAAATTTGTGGACACTTACAAAATAGAGTGGTTTCTAAAAGTAATGAACTACAACAACAAAAATTTCTTTTATATTATTTTAAATAATTAAATTGTTGGCAAACCATACAGTTGTTTCAAGTATTGCCGAAATAGAGGCAATATTTTAATCTACTCATTTTATAAAATACAAGCATATATCCACATCCATTTGGAAAAGAAAGGAAGAGAAAGATGGTATTGAAAAAAAAATTTATATAAATCAATAGGAATGTGTATTAACAGTAAGTAATTAATAGAAACGTTTGGAAATATATTGTTGCAAAAGCGATGATCCATCCATAACTGTAGGTAGAAGAAATATTTAGTATAAGCAATAAGAGACTTATAAAAGGGAAGAATGGCTCACCCTAATCCATGCATTTTGAATTCCCTCCGCTGTGTAAGCCACCGTCTCTAGCTTAAAATGCTTGTTTAGAGAAATTATTATAAGTTAGAGCACTAACTTTTACTATTAAAATTTATCAAACTTCGACCCACATTTTTGTCAAATATTTATATATTTACGAATAGATAATATTTGGTCCCCCAACTAAATTTTTTTTTTGACACATTCAACGTATTTACGTTTCCATTCTATGCCAAGTGCAAAGGTAACTCCAAAAGTAACCTGGCGCGAATTTGATACGTCACGCTTGAAGCTATTTAATTTTCAGATAAAATTAAAAGTCCATTCAATAGTTAAAAATATGGAAATTTATAGTTTCATGAATTTTTTATATATATTTTTTTTTGTTGCATAACATTCTTAAATTGATAATTATTGTTTATACATTTAACGCTATTTATACTTTAATTAGCAACTGATCATATGAAAGATACTCTAAGCATCTGTTGTTTGCAAAAAATTTATAATTATTTTCGATAGATAAGTACTTTTCGTTATTGCATTGAGTTTGTATAATCAGATCTTGTTGAAGCAACGTTATTTACAGAAGGGACTAGGTTACCAAATGCAACAAAAGCATTTGATAGATTAACCTTGCGGGCAATCAAAGGATCAAAGCTGCATATTTTAGATAATATATACAACGTCAAAAAGAGATGTTTTCGCTAAGCTGTATTTACTAGTTTAGTACGTCAAAGATTATATGCATTTTTGAATAAATTCACATAGCCTATATTGTCTTTGGCTTAGTAAGATTTTCTAACGTTTGAGCAATAATTTATTTTACCTGCCAGTATCAAATTTATGAATATTTATCGCACTCCTTTTTGCATACAGCAGCAGCAGCAGCAGCAACTATTTCGAGGTCTGTTGTCAACAATTAGACAGTCGTCTAAGCGAAAAGCCTTTAGGTGAATGGTCCATATAACCAAAAATTTAAATACTGTAGATATTAAGCAAATGTGTCGTACTGCATTTCAAAATCCAAGCAACATTAAATATCTGATTTATGTGCAAAGCAGTTAATTTGTATTTAAATATTTAAATAATGGTAACACTTTTGGTAGCTGATTTATTGGACTATAAATAACCAATTAAAGTTGTTAAGAGAAAACCAGTCTAGACCCGCTGTCGTTATTCAATGTACATGAACTTTTTTGCAAAGTATACAAAATAAAATAAAATCTTATTTACAGGAAGAAATTGTGTATTTTGACATGTGCTTCAAGCCTCCGATCAAAACAACTTTTGGAGGCGTCCGTCTTGACCAGAAATTATTCGTATCAATGAAAATCTGTCAGGCAGGATAAAGCGATTAAAACAAAAATGTTCACTTATTTTTTAGTTTTTCTTAACATCACATAACGAAATATGTTTTTGTTTTTAATTATTCTTTAATTAAGGAATGAACATTTATTTATTAGAATAATATTTACTGCTTCTTTGTGTCTGGGGAAAATAATTTAATATTCCCGAATTATTTATATCAAGAAAGAGATGTACAATAATGTTTTATATTAATATTTACAAAAAAAAGTAGTATTAAATGAGCCAGATGTTTTTAAGGTAAATATTTATTTATCCATAATAATCTGTCTCATTATATTAATATTTACATAAGCTATTAACGCCATTAATTGCCTTTATTAAGTAACTAAACTGCAGGGCAAACATTACATAAATTGTTCAGCAATGAGATTAAATTCTTTTTTATTTTTTGTA